GGAGAGCGCTGCTGTAAAGCCATAAAGTCGCATATAGGCTGTTATATAAGCAAAGAAAAACACATAAATCGTAGTATATGGATCTGTCAGCTGGCGATACATTGGCAGCTTTCGCGTCACTGTCATCTTCACAGGCCATAGGAAAAAATATCAGCACTGCCGTGAAATACATAAACAGAAAGACGTAGAGATGTAAATATGTATGACGGAAACGCGAATGGCGCTGTAATGCAGATGAATCAAACACCGGACACTAACACAGATGATCTCTGAAGGCTTACGGATGCTGGAAAGTCGGGTTTTTGTCTTGCCTCGGTGCTTTTCCAGTGTGTCGTCTGCCAGTCAAACCAGTAACACACTGTTAATAATAATAATAATAATACTAGCGACACGAGCACAGCCGGTAACACGCTGCGCGTCCGCACGCTGCTGCACCACCAGCCTCCTCATTCATCCTCCTGTAAACACACTGAACGGCGGATCTGTGGCGGAGCGGTGTACGTTAAAGCGTCCATCCTCTTGTCCTGAGGATGAGGGGGTGTACTTGAATTCAAGCAGGAAAAAAAAAAAAAAATCAAAGTATTACCTCAGCTGTTGCCAGGTAAACTTCAAAATAAAATAACGGTCCTCTGCAAGCGTTGATTGACTTTTGTTTGATAACCGCGAACTGAGTTGCACTTTATTTATTTCATTTCATATTTTATGACAGTATCTGATTCCAAATTTCTTGTCTATGCGGCCTTTAAAAAACGTGTTTACAGTCCTGACAAAAACTACTACTTCTACTATTACTACCACAAAACTATTGCTACTTAGATGCCTAAAGTGTATAGTTTCAGTTTCAGTTATAACATTTGATCTTCCCTAACAGCCCTTACAATATTTTCAGAACCACCTGCCTATCTCTGGTCTCAAGAGTGGGACCCATTGCTGTCTTCTTCTGCTTGAAGGTTCAGTCTGTGGTGTGTTCAGAAGGGATGGGTATTGATAAGATTTTCACGATTCCGATTCCATTTTCGATTCTGTTTAACGATTCGATTCTTTATCGATTCTTTTTTTTAAAAAAAAGGAGAACACTAAGGTCGATTAGCTTAGAACTTT